CAAGCCGAGCCTGCCCCTTCGGACAGGCCTACTTTTAACCACCAGTTTCATCATTTTGAGATATATTCGATTTCTCAATAGTTGATCATCCTAAATAGGCCAAAAAAAAAGGAAGGAAAAAAAAACCATAAGGTTGCATAGCTGAAGATGTATATGTCTAAATACTAATTTTCTACACCAAAAGAGGCTAACAAACATTGCTCTCTTTTCGGCTAAAGAGATTAAATTATGTACTTAATCTAGAATGGGACCATTATCAATCTCTACATAACACTTAGGGAGATTTTTCTATTTATTTCTGTGTATATATGGACAATTTTGCACAATTATCAGTTATATCATATAGTTATATTTTATTTATATTTTATGCCTTCTATGCACGGTTAATATCTATCTAGCTTTTTTCACACAAAAAAAATATCTGTCTAAATTATATTATATATTTATTACTATTATCTGCACAAACACATGAATTATTTTTATGTTAACTATTGTATATGTTACTTAAATTTTATATTTTCTATCATATTTTTTGAAAATATTTCATATTTTACATACTGCTTGTTGATATGATATATAGTTTAAATTAAATGATTATCATTTCTACTTACATATATGCTTACCTCTTACATATACATTTACCAGTAACTTATAGTTCCTAGAACACTCAGATTGTTATCCTATCTATTAGAAATTTCGATTATTCTTTATTATCCTATATAAATCCCATGTTATAACCCAATGGAGGGATTTTGTTTTTTGGTCAATGAAAAAAATTTTATTCACTAACCAAGTATGAAAATTGTATGTACATCAGATACTCAGTATTCCTTAACTGAGATTACAGAAGAAAAAAGCTAAATGGATATCCTAAAAAACAGATACTCAAAAGACAGAAAGACTCAAAACAACATCACTGCTTGCAATTGAAGGGATGTTGAAGATGGATGTGTAGACATCAATCTTGATATCTCTAACCAAGTCTTCAGTACTTCTAGTCTTGTGCTGAAATAGCCTCAAGTTTCGCTCTCTCCAAATGAAATATATAGTGGTAATCAAAGTCATCTTCTTGAGATGTTGCTTTAACCCCCTACTCTTCAACCTGTAAGCATACCAATTCACTATATGAAGCCAATTGCAAGATCTCCATTTAAAGTTCAGCCAGCTCATGATACAATTCCAGACATTTGCCGAGAAAACACACTCAAAAAACATGTGGTTTCTTGTTTCATTGGCTACTCCAGAGCAAAGAATACATGTATTTGCATTGATGACACCTCTCCTATGAAGTGTGTCCTGTGTGAGCAGTCTATCTTGAAATGCAAGTCAACTAACAAATGAATGTTTAGGAATGTTTAATCCCCCCAAGACTGTCTTGAACCATGCCACATCATTTGTAGTAGAATGTATTGCATAATATAGTGCAGACAGTTTAATTTTAGCATCCTTGCAGCATGAACTGATCAGGCATTTCAAAATTTCCACTCCACCATACAAAACCTAAACTTTATCCCTTACTTTTAACAATTGTTTTCACAACCAAGA